TGTATGTGCTCCTAACATCCCAGGAATTCAAGCTTTTAATGCATTTAATTTACTCGTTCAAATGGTTCACATGGTCATATCTTGTTTTATTCAACTTGGAAGATGTCCCAAAGAGAGTCGTCACCTGACTGTTACTTCCTCAAAGTTCGGGAAAGGTGGGTGTATGAAATTCTAAAAATCGTTAACGACGCACTGGAGGCTGAAGATGCAGCCAGAGAAACTGCCCGAGCGTTGTCTCATCCACCTCCTGATGCTGTGCCTGGTTCCGTAAGTTTACATATCACACAATTTCACACATTTCAGAGGTGAAAACAGATACTGTACATCACAATAAAAATTGACCGTCTTCTTTTGTTTCAGCAGCAACATTGTGGTTGTGAGCTATTAGTGATGGAAATATTGTTAGGTTGTTCTAAAAGGAGTCGGCACCTCAAGCTCATAGCCTGCAAGTTCTGCGGCCAGGCGGTGTCTTATCCACCTCATTATGCTGTGCCTGGTTGCGTAAGTTTACATATCACACAATTTCACACATTTCAGAGGTGAAAACAGATACTGTACATCACAATACAAATTGACCGTCTTCTTTTGTTTCACCAGCATCATTGTGGTTGTGAGGTGGAAAAGGAACCGTCATCCTCCAGCTGTTAATATTAGTGATGGAAATATTGTTAGGTTGTTCTAAAAGGAGTCGGCACCTCAAGTTCATAGCCTGCAAGTTCTGCAGCCAGGCGGTGTCTCATCCACCTCCTGATGCTGTGCCTGGTTCTGTAAATTTACATATCATACAATTTCACACATTTCAGAGGTGAAAACAGATACAGTACATCACAATACAAATTGACCGTCTTTTTTTGTTTCAGCAGCAACATTGTGGTTGTGAGGTGGAAAAGGAACCGTCATCCTCCAGCTGTTAATATTAGTGATGGAAATATTGTTAGGTTGTTCTAAAAGGAGTCGGCACCTCAAGTTCATAGCCTGCAAGTTCTGCGGCAAGGCGGTGTCTTATCCACCTCCTGATGCTGTGCCTGGTTCTGTAAGTTTACATATCACACAATTTCACACATTTCAGAGGTGAAAACAGATACAGTACATCACAATACAAATTGACCGTCTTCTTTTGTTTCAGCAGCAACATTGTGGTTGTGAGGTGGAAAAGGAACCGTCATCATTAACATTAACACAGCACCTGCTAATGATAATGCAGATGCCTTCACACACACACACACACACACACAAACTTACAAAAAAAACCATGACAAGGTTAATAAAAGTTTTTTCAATGTCAAATAATGTGTACTCTTTCACTGGGGATGGGGATGAGATTGTGTCCAATTCCCTATGCGGAATTCCAGACTATGAACATTCATGTCCAATGTTAAGTAGCTCATTTAAAAGACATCTGAAATATCAATGTCGGCCAAATAAATAGGTGGCATAAAATATAAAATAACTGTAAGATATGCAAGTCCACCTTTGTTTTTAATGCCAGAGTGGTTAGGTTTTGTTCCATTTTCCATTAAGTTGATTTAGAAAAACCTCTGGAGCATTGTTTTCTTTGTTAAAATGAAGGTTTTTGTTTTTTAAAGTGATGGCCGAGCGGCTGAAAGTGAGTTGATGATCAGCTGAGCCTCTTAAATCAGCATTTGACTGGCCTGAAATAACATCCATACGTATAAAACACTTCAAGCACCTCACAGTGTTAATTTAAACGTTTATTATCAACACTCCACAGCAAAAAGCTGAACTAGGCACAGGCCACATTACAGACACTCAAACTTGTTCATCAGCAGTGCAGGATATCATTTGGGGTTTAAGGAGAATCAGAAACAGCTTTATTTCCAAGTAGTTTTTACACTAACAAGGAATTTGATTTGGGGGGTGTGAAAATAAACATCCATGTACCAAAGAAACAATGATATGATTGGAAGCAAGAAGTAATTAATAATAAACTTGTAGGCATATACTGAACAATTGATATATGTTGTTAGACAGCGTTGTCACTGAGTCCAAATAAGTGATCCTCCTTGACTTGAAAAGCAGTCCAGAAGTTGATCTTTGCTTGTGCTCGCTTAAAATTCCAAATGAATGGTCCTTTCTGCTGCCATAATTCCAAAACGAGAATATGCAAATGTTTGTTTACTATGTGAAGATATTCCAAGCAACTGCTCCTCCATTCCAGTATGTAGTGTGTAAATATTGTGCATTGTGTTCATCTAGTTAATTTGATCTACAATTCCAAGCAAGTGATCCTCCATTCCAATAGATAGTTTTTAAATATTGCGCATTGTGTTCATCTTGTTAATTTGATATGCAATTATCATTATTATTATACAATTCCAAACGAGTGATCCTCCCTTCCAAGTTCTAATATCACATAATTACTTATAAAGGGATCGCCTGATTGGTTACCGCGCGTGGATTGCAGTGCACTGTTAACATAGGCCCCAGTCACATTACAGGCGGATGAGCGAAACACCTATTCAAGGTAACTCCTTCCAAATCAGTCTGATTTTGTGTCCTAATCACTAAGATTATGATCGAAAACACTAACAATTCAAAGACATGTTTCTAGCAGTCCTCTTTTTGTATCTTGAGCACTAATGTTATGATCGAAAACACTAACAATTCCAAGAAATGTTTCTAGCAGTCCTATTTTTGTATCTTGAGCACTAATGTTATGATCAAAAACATTAACAATTCCAAGAAATGTTTCTGTAGGAGCCATATGGGTTATTTCCCTCCAAGCTACAGGGGGCATGATACTGAGTTGTGGTGTTATGGCCGGTGCTTGCCTCAGGTAATTTAAGTGCCTGTGTTGATGCAACCTGGTGTTGTTAATTTCTAAGGTAATAAAAACGTAACGGTTTTATACCCCTCTGAAAACATAGTTATGGGTCTTGTATTGCATTTCTATTCAATTCAATTCAATTTCAATTCAGTTTTTTTTTCAATTTATATAGCGCCAAATCACAACAACAGTTATCTCACAGCGCTTTTCATAAAAGAGCAGGTCTAGACCGTACTCTATGATGCTATTTACAGAAGGCCAACAGTTCCCACCAAGAGCAGCACTAGGAGACAGAGGCAAGGAAAATTTCCTTTTAAGAGGCAGAAACCTCGAGCAGAACCATGGGGGGGGGGGGGGGGGGGGCAGGAGAGGAACAGAGAGAAAGAGAGAGGGATGGAAGGAGAGAGAGAGGGGAGGGAGGCATCCTACATAATAAACACACAGAGGTACAGACAGTAAAGGTGATGTTGCTATAGACTAAATGAAAAATGGGAGTTAGTAACATGCAATAATGGGATGAGGTTGCATACAGAGGGAGAGAAAGTAGAGGAGAGAGGAGCTCAGTGCATCATGGGAAATCCCCCGGCAGTCTAGGCCTATAGCAGCATAACTAAGGGATGGTTCAGGACTCACCTGAGCCAGCCCTAACTATAAGCTTTATCAAAGAGGAAAGTCTTAAGCCTACTCTTAAATGTGGAGATGGTGTCTGCCTCCTGAACCCAAACTGGAACCTGGTTCCACAGGAGAGGAGCTTGATAGCTGAACGCTCTGGCTCCTAGTCTACTTTTGGAGACTCGAGGAACCACAAGTAACCCTGCATTCTGGGAGCGCAGTGCTCTGGTGGGGTAGTAAGGTACTATGAGCTCTTTAAGATAAGATGGTGCCTGACCATTAAGAGCTTTGTAGGTAAGAAGAATGATTTTAAATTCTATTCTGGATTTTACTGGAAGCCAATGCAAAGAAGCTAAGACAGGAGAAATGTGATCTCTTTTCCTGGTTCCTGTCAGAACACGTGCTGCAGCATTCTGGATCAGCTGAAGAGTCTTAATGGACTTTTTCGAGCAGCATGATAATAAGGAATTGCAGTAATCCAGCCTAGAAGTAACAAATGCATGGACTAGTTTTTCTGCATCATTTTTAGACAGGATGTTCCTGATTTTCGCAATATTACCTAGGTGAAAAAAGGCGGTCCTTGAAATTTGCTTAATGTGAGACTTAAACGACATGTCCTGATCAAAGATAACTCCAAGATTCCTCACAGTGGTGCTGGAGGCCAGGGTGATGCCATCAATGTGAAACTATATCTTTAGACAATGCGTCACGGAGGTGCTTGGGCCCCAGAACAATAACTTCAGTTTTATCTGAGTTTAACATTAGAAAATTACAGGTCATCCAGGTTTTAACATCCTGAAGGCACATTTGAAGTTTAGCTAACTGATGAGTTTCATCTGGTTTGATCGATAGATCTAACTAAGTATCATCTGCATAACAATGAAAGCTTATGGAATATTTCCTGATAATATTGCCTAAACGAAGCATATATAAAGTGAAGAGGATTGGTCCAAGGACAGATCCTTGAGGAACTCCATGAGCAGTCTTAACTTCGAGCTCTGGCTCATTCTGCTTCCTGATGCGTCTATTAGAGTACATCTCGAATGAAAGGTAACTCACATTCGAGAATTCAAGATACATTTCCCATAGTAAAATCGTATTTTGTAGTATTTCCAAAGGTATGCTCTATTGTTCCTAAAAGTGTATCCAGTGCAAAATTCCAAAAAGGGAATATCAATGTCTAATTTGAGGTAGCCTTCTGCATATTGGACATGTATGCAACAATCTAAAGATGAAATCTTATTTCCTAATTTAACTCCAAGAATGAAATCCAATTGTCTAAATCTTCCAAACACAGAATCTGATATGTTACAAAGAGTGTCCAATTCTCTATGCAGGATACCAGAATGAGAACATTAATGTCTGAAGTTGAGTAGCTCTGTTGAAAAACATCGAAAATACTTATGTCAGTACAAATATTGTATGTGCTCCTAACATCCCAGGAATTCAAGCTTTTAATGCATTTAATTTACTCGTTCAAATGGTTCACATGGTCATATCTTGTTTTATTCAACTTGGAAGATGTCCCAAAGAGAGTCGTCACCTGACTGTTACTTCCTCAAAGTTCGGGAAAGGTGGGTGTATGAACTTCTAAAAATCGTTAACGACGCACTGGAGGCTGAAGATGCAGCCAGAGAAACTGCCCGAGCGTTGTCTCATCCACCTCCTGATGCTGTGCCTGGTTCCGTAAGTTTACATATCACACAATTTCACACATTTCAGAGGTGAAAACAGATACTGTACATCACAATACAAATTGACCGTCTTTTTTTGTTTCAGCAGCAACATTGTGGTTGTGAGGTGGAAAAGGAACCGTCATCCTCCAGCTGTTAATATTAGTGATGGAAATATTGTTAGGTTGTTCTAAAAGGAGTCGGCACCTCAAGTTCATAGCCTGCAAGTTCTGCGGCCAGGCGGTGTCTCATCCACCTCCTGATGCTGTGCCTGGTTCTGTAAGTTTACATATCACACAATTTCACACATTTCAGAGGTGAAAACAGATACAGTACATCACAATACAAATTGACCGTCTTCTTTTGTTTCAGCAGCAACATTGTGGTTGTGAGGTGGAAAAGGAACCGTCATCCTCCAGCTGTTAATATTAGTGATGGAAATATTGTTAGGTTGTTCTAAAAGGAGTCGGCACCTCAAGTTCATAGCCTGCAAGTTCTGCGGCCAGGCGGTGTCTCATCCACCTCCTGATGCTGTGCCTGGTTCTGTAAGTTTACATATCACAGAATTTCACACATTTCAGAGGTGAAAACAGATACTGTACATCACAATACAAATTGACTGTCTTTTTTTGTTTCGGCAGCAACATTGTGGTTGTGAGGTGGAAAAGGAACCGTCATCCTCCAGCTGTTAATATTAGTGATGGAAATATTGTTAGGTTGTTCTAAAAGGAGTCGGCACCTCAAGTTCATAGCCTGCAAGTTCTGCGGCCAGGCGGTGTCTCATCCACCTCCTGATGCTGTGCCTGGTTGTGTAAGTTTACATATCACACAATTTCACACATTTCAGAGGTGAAAACAGATACAGTACATCACAATACAAATTGACTGTCTTTTTTTGTTTCGGCAGCAACATTGTGGTTGTGAGGTGGAAAAGGAACCGTCATCCTCCAGCTGTTAATATTAGTGATGGAAATATTGTTAGGTTGTTCTAAAAGGAGTCGGCACCTCAAGTTCATAGCCTGCAAGTTCTGCGGCCAGGCGGTGTCTCATCCACTTCCTGATGCTGTGCCTGGTTCTGTAAGTTTACATATCACACAATTTCACACATTTCAGAGGTGAAAACAGATACAGTACATCACAATACAAATTGACCGTCTTCTTTTGTTTCAGCAGCAACATTGTGGTTGTGAGGTGGAAAAGGAACCGTCATCATTAACATTAACACAGCACCTGCTAATGATAATGCAGATGCCTTCACACACACACACACACACAAACTTACAAAAAAAACCATGACAAGGTTAATAAAAGTTTTTTCAATGTCAAAAATGTGTACTCTTTCACTGGGGATGGGGATGAGATTGTGTCCAATTCCCTATGCGGAATTCCAGACTACGAACATTCATGTCCAATGTTAAGTAGCTGATTTAAAAGACATCTGAAATATCAATGTCGGCCAAATAAATAGGTGGCATAAAATATAAAATAACTGTAAGATATGCAAGTCCACCTTTGTTTTTAATGCCAGAGTGGTTAGGTTTTGTTCCATTTTCCATTAAGTTGATTTAGAAAAATCTCTGGAGCATTGTTTTCTTTGTTAAAATGAAGGTTTTTGTTTTTTAAAGTGATGACCGAGCGGCTGAAAGTGAGTTGATCAGCATTAAATCAGCATTTGACTGGCCTGAAATAACATCCATACGTATAAAACACTTCAAGCACCTCACAGTGTTAATTTAAACGTTTATTATCAACACTCCACAGCAAAAAGCTGATCTAGGCACAGGCCACATTACAGACACTCAAACTTGTTCATTAGCAGTGCAGGATATCATTTGGGGTTTAAGGAGAATCAGAAACAGAAACAGCTTTATTTCCAAGTAGTTTTTACACTAACAAGGAATTTGATTTGGGGGTGTGAAAATAAACATCCATGTACCAAAGAAACAAATGATATGATTGGAAGCAAGAAGTAATTAATAATAAACTTGTAGGCATATACTGAACAATTGGTATATGTTGTTAGACAGCGTTGTCACTGAGTCCAAATAAGTGATCCTCCTTGACTTGAAAAGCAGTCCAGAAGTTGATCTTTGCTTGTGCTCGCTTAAAATTCCAAATGAATGGTCCTTTCTGCTGCCATAATTCCAAAACGAGAATATGCAAATGTTTGTTTACTATGTGAAGATATTCCAAGCAACTGCTCCTCCATTCCAGTATGTAGTGTGTAAATATTGTGCATTGTGTTCATCTAGTTAATTTGATCTACAATTCCAAGCAAGTGATCCTCCATTCCAATAGATAGTTTTTAAATATTGCGCATTGTGTTCATCTTGTTAATTTGATATGCAATTATCATTATTATTATACAATTCCAAACGAGTGATCCTCCCTTCCAAGTTCTAATATCACATAATTACTTATAAAGGGATCGCCTGATTGGTTACCGCGCGTGGATTGCAGTGCACTGTTAACATAGGCCCCAGTCACATTACAGGCGGATGAGCGAAACACCTATTCAAGGTAACTCCTTCCAAATCAGTCTGATTTTGTGTCCTAATCACTAATGTTATGATCGAAAACACTAACAATTCCAAGAAATGTTTCTAGCAGTCCTATTTTTGTATCTTGAGCACTAATGTTATGATCGAAAACACTAACAATTCCAAGAAATGTTTCTGTAGGAGCCATATGGGTTATTTCCCTCCAAGCTACAGGGGGCATGATACTGAGTTGTGGTGTTAAGGCCGGTGCTTGCCTCAGGTAATTTAAGTGCCTGTGTTGATGCAACCTGGTGTTGTTAATTTCTAAGGTAATAAAAACGTAACGGTTTATTACGTAAGGTCTTTATACCCCGCTGAAAACATAGTTATGGGTCTTGTATTGCATTTCTGTCAACAGACCTAAGAAATATTACACACTGAACCTTTAAAAGGGCGTAATTCCAAATGAATGGTCCTTTCTGATGCCACAATTCCAAAACGAGAACATGCAAATGTTTGTTTACTATGTAAAGATATCAAATTCCAAGCAACTGATCCTCCGTTCCAGTATGTAGTGTGTAAATATTGTGCATTGTGTTCATCTAGTTAATTTGATATGCAATTATTATTATTATCATTATTATCATTATTATTATACAATTCCAAACGAGTGATCCTCCCTTCCAAGTTCTAATATCACATAATTACTTATAAAGGGATCGCCTGATTGGTTACCGCGCGTGGATTGCAGTGCACTGTTAACATAGGCCCCAGTCACATTACAGGCGGATGAGCGAAACACCTATTCAAGGTAACTCCTTCCAAATCAGTCTGATTTTGTGTCCTAATCATTAATGTTATGATCGAAAACACTAACAATTCCAAGAAATGTTTCTAGCAGTCCTATTTTTGTATCTTGAGCACTAATGTTATGATCGAAAACACTAACAATTCCAAGAAATGTTTCTGTAGGAGCCATATGGGTTATTTCCCTCCAAGCTACAGGGGGCATGATACTGAGTTGTGGTGTTAAGGCCGGTGCTTGCCTCAGGTAATTTAAGTGCCTGTGTTGATGCAACCTGGTGTTGTTAATTTCTAAGGTAATAAAAACGTAACGGTTTATTACGTAAGGTCTTTATACCCCGCTGAAAACATAGTTATGGGTCTTGTATTGCATTTCTGTCAACAGACCTAAGAAATATTACACACTGAACCTTTAAAAGGGCGTAATTCCAAATGAATGGTCCTTTCTGATGCCACAATTCCAAAACGAGAACATGCAAATGTTTGTTTACTATGTAAAGATATCAAATTCCAAGCAACTGATCCTCCGTTCCAGTATGTAGTGTGTAAATATTGTGCATTGTGTTCATCTAGTTAATTTGATATGCAATTATTATTATTATCATTATTATCATTATTATTATACAATTCCAAACGAGTGATCCTCCATTCCAATGGAATGCGAATGTGGAATGTGTTAATCATTTGGATCACTTTACCTTCCAAAGTTTACATTACAATCCCGATTGTAAAATCCAAACTGCTAAATATTGACTTTAACATGGTTTATCATGTGGCAGACGCTTTTATCCAAAGCGACCTACTTTGTTTGATGAACAACATACAAGCATCAACAAAGCATTTATACAGTAAGAGATCTACAAGTGACAATAGCAAGAGCAGCAATAAATACTAGTAAGAGCTAAAAGCATGTATAGCATCAATGGGGTAAATACCCAGGGGAAGAAGTAGGAGTTAATGAATAGTGCAATCAATACAAGAGAATTGTAATGAAACAGAAGAAGAAGAAGAGCACAGAGGTTGGGTCATCTCTCGTTCCCCCGTTGGCAGCCGCTGGGATGGATCTCACAACCTTCTTCAGTTCTATCTAATCACAGATCCCTTAATGCCATTATCGCAGTTCCACGTGTTACCTTGACAAGGACTAGAACATGAGGTGTGAGGGGCTCTAGGAAAAGACTGAGAACCTATTCTCTTTTGTTTCAGAGATGCTTGTTGATGCCAGCCACATTTCCACATTTCTGACAAGGGCTGGCAAGGAAATTCCTGCAGCCCTTGGTGAGTGTTAAGGAAAATGTTTTTCCAAAATCCTTCAGTGTTAGAAGAGCAGTGTCTCACCTTGAACCTTTCACACTACTTTACAGGCACACTGGAAAGAAATCCCACAGTTCAGAATCTTCTGGGTCTCTGCAGTGTCTTAAAAAAGAAAAAAGTTTATAATTATAAATTTCATGCATTGTTGTACAGATCAGTGATTTGATTTGTAGCCAAACAATTCACTTATATCTTGTTCTTCATCTTTATCTGATTTCACAGTCAACATGCAATGCATGTTACATCATCCACAAAGTGATTTTATCAATGAACATTACATGTATGTGTGTCTGTAGTTGAAACTGAATTAATAGAAATGGACTTATGTTATATGCCCAGAGTCCTCAGATAATTGCTGGTAGAAGTCATTCCCTTGTTTTTCCAGTATTTACCTGCCACTCTAGGAACACATTGTCAAAAACACAGAGATCAAATATTCCCACCATGCTGTTAGTTTACAAAAGAAGGAAATGGGAGCTGAATCCCTTACACCTGCGTCTTTCAGCATCGCCTTCATTTGACATGTCTGAAAAAAAATCTCTCCACTAACTGCGCAAATGAGAAGATGTTTCTTTCAAAGAGAGAGACAGGACTAACAGAGACAGAGAGAGAGAGAGAGTGAGAAAGGGAGAGTGAACCAGGCTTCAGTCAAACAGGTGCTCTATACAGTGTGCAAGCGGCTAAAAAGTGTCTGGGTTTGAACCAAATGCTGTGTTTCGATTTGTTAACAATATCCAGTGCCTATGTGGCAGTTTTCCATAAAGACACTGACCTCTGCTATGCTTTTTATGAAAAAAAGAAAAATGTCGGAGTCCAGTCGATGCCTCCACTCTCATCCATGTCCCGTTATCGTCTTGTGTGTTCGTATGGTTAGATTGTTTAACCTCAGTGTAAGGTCTTACATGATACTCTTTGCAATGACAAATGTTCAGACTCAGATTTCAAGAGATTCATGAGCATTTCTTTAACTTTCTCTAACACTGTTTCTCTTCTCTTTGTTTTGCCATTCCGCCTTTCGTTGTCTACTCCAGCCTGTGCTTTGTCCATAGGCCAGAAATCTTGAAGCATGGGCGACTGGAGCTTACTAGGGCGGCTGTTGGAGAACGCTCAGGAACAGTCAACGGTCATTGGCAAAGTCTGGCTGACTGTCCTCTTCATCTTCAGGATCCTGGTGCTGGGGGCCGCGGCAGAAGAGGTCTGGGGCGATGAGCAGTCTGACTTCACCTGTAACACCCAACAGCCTGGTTGCGAGAACGTCTGCTATGATGAGGCCTTCCCCATCTCACACATCCGCTTCTGGGTGTTGCAGATCATCTTCGTGTCCATGCCGAGTCTTATCTACCTGGGCCACGTGCTACACATCATCCGTATGGAGGAGAAGCAGAAAGAGAAGGAGGAGATGGGCAAAGCAACCGCGCTCCAAGAGGAGAAAGAACTCCATTATAGAAATGGTGGCAATGCTAGAGGAGGAGGATGCGATAAGAAGCAGAAGCATCCAATCAGGGACGAGCATGGCAAAATTCGTATCAGAGGTGCATTGCTGCGTACCTATGTGTTCAACGTTGTTTTCAAGACCCTGTTTGAAGTGGGATTCATTTTGGGCCAGTATTTTCTCTACGGCTTCCAGCTGAAGCCCTTGTACAAGTGTGCACGTTGGCCCTGCCCCAACACTGTTGACTGCTTCATATCGAGGCCCACTGAAAAGACTATTTTTATTATATTTATGCTTGTGGTGGCTTGCGTGTCTCTTTTGCTGAATTTGTTAGAGATCTCTCACCTTGGATGGAAGAAAATTAAGCAGGGCACGACAATTGAGGTAGCACCCAAATACAAGTCGCTGCACCGCGTCAACATTGCAGAGCTGCAGTGTTTGGACTTGGCCTCCAGAACGGCCCCTTCCAGCCTCAGTTACCCTCCTAACCACACATATGTGACGGCAGGCAGCAATGCATTTCTGCTACCAATGGGGCCAAACGCCGTGTCCTCAGCAGCAAAGCTCAAAATGGACGACCCCCAGCAAAAGCACTCCCTCCGCAAGCTCTCCCCTCCTTCCCACTACTACATCAGCAACAACAACAATTACAGGCTGGCCACTAAGCAAAACTGGGCCAACCTGGCCACCAAGCAGCAGACTCAGGAGATGAAGGGCACATACACCTCCCCATCCTTCTCTTCCTCCACCAGCACTGAGAATGGGCAGCAGCAGCAGCAGTCCATCAATGCTGCACTGCCCGATATAGCTGCCACTGCTGCCTCCAGCAGCAGCAGCCCCCGCACTGCCTCTAAGACTGGCAGCTGGAGATGGGAGAAGAGTAAGCAGGAGGAATTCCACGTCACCAACAGAACAGACCTTCAGCGGCTCAGTCGTTTCAGCAAGAGCAGGAGCATCAGGGCTAAGCCGAGTGACCTGGCTGTCTAAATCTCTAAATCCCTTTACTCTACCTGACCAACACCCCGCGTCCCCCAAACACAGTGATTCTAAGACAAAAAAAATCTCATGAATAAAGCAAAAAAGAAAGAAAGAAAGAAGACAAGGCGACATTAGACAGGGAAACAGAACTGCAGAAAATGTTTAGGCAAATGTGAAGGAGTTCAGACACTGGATGGTGAGTCAACAACTTTATTAAAAGAAAGAAGGCATTTAGTGACCTCAAAAGACATTTTCCAGATGTTAGTCAAAATGTAAATTTATAAGTTATGTTATTTACAGGTTAGGTTTTTTTTTTTTTTGTATTTTAGATTTAAACTTTAAAATGCAATACATTTAAAATTGCCTGGAAATGTATGGTTTTCAAATCTACGTATTCATGTTTCAATAAAAAATTGAAGAGTTTTGAAGCAATGGGGTCTGTGCTCCTGATTCATGTCTTGATATCATTCAAGTCGTTTATGAAATGTGTGAATTCTTGTACTTGTAATACATAGCCTGCCCTTCAAGTGTTATATAGTTAAATAGTCTAATGAAAAACTTTGTTCCACCTTCCAGACACTCAACAATTTGTTAATCAGCAGTGCAGGATATCATGTGGGGTTAAATCAGAATCAGAAACAGAACAATTTTTTATCCTAATCACTAATGTTATTGTTGAAAACACTAACAATTCCGGCAGTCATTTTTGTATCCTAAACACTAATGTTATGATCAAAAACAATAACAATTTCAAGGTTTTCGTCGTTTAAAGTGATGACCGAGTGGCTGAAAGTGAGTTGATGATTGGCTGAGCCTCTTAAATCAACGCTTGACCGGCCTACAATAACATCCATTGATATAAAACACTTCAAGCACATCACAGTGTTATTTAATATCATCACCACCACAGTAAAAAGCTGAGGCAGTCTCAGGCCACATTCCAGACACTCCAACTTGTTAATCGGCAGTGCAGGATATCATGTGGGGTTTAATTAGAAACAGAAACAGAAACAGCTTTATTTCCAAGCAGTTTTTACACTAACCAGGAATTTCTTTTGGGGACAAGAGGTGTGACAATAAATATCTATTTACAAAGGAAACAAATGACATGATTGGAAGCATGAAAAGATCATCAGTCATACTGAACAATTGGTGAGTCCAAATGAGTGATCCTCCTTGACTTGAAAAGCAGTCCAGACATTTACCTTTACTTGTTTTCACTTAAAAGGGTGTAATACCAAATGAATTATCTTTTCTCCTGCCACAGTTCCAAAGGGAGAATATGCAAATGTTTATTCTGTAGATATCAAATTCCAAATGAGTGATCCTCTATTCCAGTATATAGTCTGTAAATATTGTGCATTGTGTTCATCTAGTTAATTTGATATGCAATTATTATTATTATCATTATTATCATTATTATTATACAATTCCAAACGAGTGATCCTCCATTCCAATAGATAGTTTTTAAATATTGTCCATTGTGTTCATCTAGTTAATTTTATATGCAATTATCATTATTATCATTATTATCATTATTATTATACAATTCCAAACGAGTGATCCTCCATTCCAAGTTTTACTCTTTGACATGGAAACAATGACACGATTGACTCCAGGAAGTGAATAGTCATGCACTTGTAGGAATACATTGAACCACTGGTAAGTGTCTTCAGTGTGGCTTTGTAACTCCGTCAGAGTACAAGAGAGTGTTTTGCAGACTGTTGTCAAGGTAAGTCCAATTCAAATCTCTAAGCCTTAATTTTAATCACTGATTATTCCAATATTTGCATTCCAATTTATAGATCTTTCACGCTCAACATCCAAAGTACTAAATATTCCAGTTACTGGATACCAATCCCTAATGCAGGTGTTTGTGGTTGAAGAGAAACTGGTGTGTGAGGTGGATGCCATACACAGCATGGTGAATCATTGATTTAAGATGCCACGCCACGGCAGACACTCACCGTTTGAACAACTTTTCATCACCAATGTCTTTTTGTTACACAACCCAAATTTGACCAATTAGCTGGGAGGAGTTTGTAAGGGTACAGACCTGCAAATGAGTAAAAATAACCATTAAATCCAAAATGGCTGACTTCCTCTTGGGTAAGAGGCTTCTTGGTACGTCTGGACATGATACATGTGCCACAGAAATTTCATCCATGTAGTTCAAACGTGCTGCGGGGGCTGCTTCGTTAAAGGTCACTTCCTGTTGCCAGTAGGTGGCACTGTGATGAATTTTGGTAAGTAAATGTATTCAGGCGGGACTCCTATCAACCAAGTAAAGTTTGGTAGAGATTTGAGCATGTACAGTGAGGTTACAACAACTTCCTGTTTCACGGCGAATCATTTCAATGCTACACCAGGGACAAGCCCACAGGGCGCAGGAGCATCATTTTTAGACAGGATGTTCCTGATTTTCGCAATATTACGTAGGTGAAAAAAGGCGGTCCTTGAAATTTGCTTAATGTGAGACTTAAACGACATGTCCTGATCAAAGATAACTCCAAGATTCCTCACAGTGGTGCTGGAGGCCAGGGCGATGCCATCAAGGTGAAACTATATTTCTTTAGACAATGCGTCACGGAGGTGCTTGGGCCCCAGAACAATAACTTCAGTTTTATCTGAGTTTAACATTAGAAAATTACAGGTCATCCAGGTTTTAACATCCTGAAGGCACATTTGAAGTTTAGCTAACTGATGAGTTTCATCTGGTTTGACCGATAGATATAACTGAGTATCATCTGCATAACAATGAAAGCTTATGGAATATTTCCTGATAATATTGCCTAAACGAAGCATATATAAAGTGAAGAGGATTGGTCCGAGGACAGATCCTTGTGGAACTCCATGAGCAGTCTTAACTTCGAGCTCTGGCTCATTCTGCTTCGTGATGCGTCTATTAGAGTACATCTCGAATGAAAGGTAACTCACATTCGAGAATTCAAGATACATTTCCCATAGTAAAATCGTATTTTGTAGTATTTCCAAAGGTATGCTCTATTGTTCCTAAAAGTGTATCCAGTGCAAAATTTCAAAAAGGGAATATCAATGTCTAATTTGAGGTAGCCTACTGCATATTGGACATGTATGCAACAATCTAAAGATGAAATCTTATTTCCTAATTTAACTCCAAGAATGAAATCCAATTGTCTAAATCTTCCAAACACAGAATCTGATATGTTACAAAGAGTGTCCAATTCTCTATGCAGGATACCAGAATGAGAACATTAATGTCTGAAGTTGAGTAGCTCTGTTGAAAAACATCGAAAATACTTATGTCAGTACAAATATTGTATGTGCTCCTAACATCCCAGGAATTCAAGCTTTTAATGCATTTAATTTACTCGTTCAAATGGTTCACATGGTCATATCTTGTTTTATTCAACTTGGAAGATGTCCCAAAGAGAGTCGTCACCTGACTGTTACTTCCTCAAAGTTCGGGAAAGGTGGGTGTATGAAATTCTAAAAATCGTTAACGACGCACTGGAGGCTGAAGATGCAGCCAGAGAAACTGCCCGAGCGTTGTCTCATCCACCTCCTGATGCTGTGCCTGGTTCCGTAAGTTTACATATCACACAATTTCACACATTTCAGAGGTGAAAACAGATACTGTACATCACAATAAAAATTGACCGTCTTCTTTTGTTTCAGCAGCAACATTGTGGTTGTGAGCTATTAGTGATGGAAATATTGTTAGGTTGTTCTAAAAGGAGTCGGCACCTCAAGCTCATAGCCTGCAAGTTCTGCGGCCAGGCGGAGTCTTATCCACCTCCTGATGCTGTGCCTGGTTCCGTAAGTTTACATATCACACAATTTCACACATTTCAGAGGTGAAAACAGATACTGTACATCACAATAAAAATTGACCGTCTTCTTTTGTTTCAGCAGCAACATTGTGGTTGTGAGCTATTAGTGATGGAAATATTGTTAGGTTGTTCTAAAAGGAGTCGGCACCTCAAGCTCATAGCCTGCAAGTTCTGCGGCCAGGCGGTGTCTTATCCACCTCCTGATGCTGTGCCTGGTTCCGTAAGTTTACATATCACACAATTTCACACATTTCAGAGGTGAAAACAGATACTGTACATCACAATACAAATTGACCGTCTTCTTTTGTTTCACCAGCATCATTGTGGTTGTGAGGTGGAAAAGGAACCGTCATCCTCCAGCTGTTAATATTAGTGATGGAAATATTTTAGGTTGTTCTAAAAGGAGTCGGCACCTCAAGTTCATAGCCTGCAAGTTCTGCAGCCAGGCGGTGTCTCATCCACCTCCTGATGCTGTGCCTGGTTCTGTAAATTTACATATCATACAATTTCACACATTTCAGAGGTGAAAACAGATACAGTACATCACAATACAAATTGACCGTCTTTTTTTGTTTCAGCAGCAACATTGTGGTTGTGAGGTGGAAAAGGAACCGTCATCCTCCAGCTGTTAATATTAGTGATGGAAATATTGTTAGGTTGTTCTAAAAGGAGTCGGCACCTCAAGTTCATAGCCTGCAAGTTCTGCGGCCAGGCGGTGTCTCATCCACCTCCTGATGCTGTGCCTGGTTCTGTAAGTTTACATATCACACAATTTCACACATTTCAGAGGTGAAAACAGATACAGGACATCACAATACAAATTGACCGTCTTCTTTTGTTTCAGCAGCAACATTGTGGTTGTGAGGTGGAAAAGGAACCGTCATCATTAACATTAACACAGCACCTGCTAATGATAATGCAGATGCCTTCACACACACACACACACACACACAAACTTACAAAAAAAACCATGACAAGGTTAATAAAAGTTTTTTCAATGTCAAATAATGTGTACTCTTTCACTGGGGATGGGGATGAGATTGTGTCCAATTCCCTATGCGGAATTCCAGACTATGAACATTCATGTCCAATGTTAAGTAGCTCATTTAAAAGACATCTGAAATATCAATGTCGGCCAAATAAATAGGTGGCATAAAATATAAAATAACTGTAAGATATGCAAGTCCACCTTTGTTTTTAATGCCAGAGTGGTTAGGTTTTGTTCCATTTTCCATTAAGTTGATTTAGAAAAACCTCTGGAGCATTGTTTTCTTTGTTAAAATGAAGGTTTTTGTTTTTTAAAGTGATGGCCGAGCGGCTGAAAGTGAGTTGATGATCAGCTGAGCTCTTAAATCAGCATTTGACTGGCCTGAAATAACATCCATACGTATAAAACACTTCAAGCACCTCACAGTGTTAATTTAAACGTTTATTATCAACACTCCACAGCAAAAAGCTGAACTAGGCACAGGCCACATTACAGACACTCAAACTTGTCATCAGCAGTGCAGGATATCATTTGGGGTTTAATGAGAAACAGAAACAGCTTTATTTCCAAGTAGTTTTTACACTAACAAGGAATTTGATTTGGGGGGGTGAAAATAAACATCCATGTACCAAAGAAACAAATGATATGATTGGAAGCAAGAAGTAATTAATAATAAACTTGTAGGCATATACTGAACAATTGGTATATGTTGTTAGACAGCGTTGTCACTGAGTCCAAATAAGTGATCCTCCTTGACTTGAAAAGCAGTCCAGAAGTTGATCTTTGCTTGTGCTCGCTTAAAATTCCAAATGAATGGTCCTTTCTGCTGCCATAATTCCAAAACGAGAATATGCAAATGTTTGTTTACTATGTGAAGATATTCCAAGCAACTGCTCCTCCATTCCAGTATGTAGTGTGTAAATATTGTGCATTGTGTTCATCTAGTTAATTTGATCTACAATTCCAAGCAAGTGATCCTCCATTCCAATAGATAGTTTTTAAATATTGCGCATTGTGTTCATCTTGTTAATTTGATATGCAATTATCATTATTATACAATTCCAAACGAGTGATCCTCCCTTCCAAGTTCTAATATCACATAATTACTTATAAAGGGATCGCCTGATTGGTTACCGCGCGTGGATTGCAGTGCACTGTTAACATAGGCCCCAGTCACATTACAGGCGGATGAGCGAAACACCTATTCAAGGTAACTCCTTCCAAATCAGTCTGATTTTGTGTCCTAATCACTAATGTTATGATCGAAAACACTAACAATTCCAAGAAATGTTTCTAGCAGTCCTATTTTTGTATCTTGAGCACTAATGTTATGATCCAAAACACTAACAATTCCAAGAAATGTTTCTAGCAGTCCTATTTTTGTATCTTGAGCACTAATGTTATGATCGAAAACACTAACAATTCCAAGAAATGTTTCTGTAGGAGCCATATGGGTTATTTCCCTCCAAGCTACAGGGGGCATGATACTGAGTTGTGGTGTTAAGGCCGGTGCTTGCCTCAGGTAATTTAAGTGCCTGTGTTGATGCAACCTGGTGTTGTTAATTTCTAAGGTAATAAAAACGTAACGGTTTTATACCCCGCTGAAACATAGTTATGGGTCTTGTATTGCATTTCTATTCAATTCAATTCAATTTCAATTCAGTTTTTTTTTCAATTTATATAGCGCCAAATCACAACAACAGTTATCTCACAGCGCTTTTCATAAAAGAGCAGGTCTAGACCGTACTCTATGATGCTATTTACAGAAGGCCAACAGTTCCCACCAAGAGCAGCACTAGGAGACAGAGCAAGGAAAAATTTCCTTTTAAGAGGCAGAAACCTCGAGCAGAACCATGGGGGGGGGGGGGGGGGGGGGGGGGGGG